ATATATATATATATACATTGTATATAATATATTAATTATAAATAAATATATAAATGGTTGTATTAATGCATGCATAAGAAGAAAAAAATAAGAGAGCAAACATAATAAATAAAGTAAATAAATAATATTTAATTAATTATATATTTGTTCCTTTTTATTCCTTATTAAACATATACATATAATATATATATATATATTATATATATATATTAGGCATATATATATTATTTAGCTGCCTATACACCGCAAATATATATATATATATATATACAACTCTCCTCCTTATTATGCATGTAAACACTTATTAACCTGCAGCAACAGCAACAGCAACAACATGCAGACATTGTGTACCCTGCATGCATGCATGCATGCGTGTTTTGGGGCTTGCATGCCTATAGGTGCATGCATTCATGCATGCATGCGTTTTTGCATGCATGCATGCATGCATACATATAATATGCATGCGTTTTATATGCATGCAATAATGCATGCATAAACAAATAACAAAAACATACGCTTAATTATTCACCTCCAACTCTACGCACGCATGCATATGCATGCATGCATGCATATACATGCATGCATATGCATGCATTTAACATGCACGCATGCATGCATGCATGCATGCGGGCGGGCCTTTGAATATAAATGCATGCATGCATGCATGCATGCATGCATGCGTGCATTCAAGTGTCAGCAACCATGCATGCATGCATGTGCATGCATGCACGCGCATGCATGTGCATGCATGCAATGAAACAAGTAGCCATGCATCTGCATGTATGCATATGCATATGCATACACCTGTATGCATGTATTTGCATGCATAAATCTGCATGTATCTGCATGCATGCATGCATGCATGCATGCATGCATGCATTGTATATAATTATAAGAAGTAATCAGGTACACCTCTTAATTCTTCTGCTCCTTCGAGTTGCTCAGGAGATGCATCAAACTGTATGCTGCATATACACAACAAATATATACATGCATGCATGCATGCATGCATGCATGCATGTCTAAAGCAGCAGCAGCATCACCCCAACCCCCATCACCATCAGCACCATCAGCAGCACCATCAGCAACAGCAGCAGCAGCAGCAGCAGCAGCAGCAGGAAATAAATATATATTTCTTACAAAGAATATTGTAAATATTCATCAATTTGTAGAATTGCTGCTTTATTTCCGCATCTATAACAATAATTAGGTGCAGAAAATAATGTTAATACATTTCTTCCTTGGCTCCATTGGTAACCCTATACATAAATAAATATATAAATATATATATAAATATATTTATTTATTATATTTATTCATTCTTTAATTTATTATTTACTTAATAATCACATTATTATTCATTATTTATACAAAAAAAAAAAGGGCTTTATACCCATGCATGTAACGTATGCGTATGCATATGCATATGCATATGCATGCATGCATGCATGCATGCATGCATGCATGCAACAACGGCAACAACAACAGCAACAGACCGCCATGCATCATCATCATCAGCAGCAAACAAACAAACAAACAAACAAACAAACAAACAAACAAACAAACAAACAAGCATGCATGCATGCATGCATGCAGTGCATGTTTTGGGGCTGTTACCTCCATGACGAGTTGATGAGCTCTGGTGATGCACTGCAAACCATTCGCTCGTAAAAACCTCTCAGATATATCACGACCAAACGTAAACCCTAATCAGCAGCAGCAGCAGCAGCAGCAGCAACAGCAACAGCAACAGCAGCAACAGCAGCAGCAGCAGCAGGTAGAGGATGAGGAGGTCAAAAGGGGAAGGAGATGCATGCAAAAGATTGATGTGTTTATACATCTAGCAACTGATATAACTTTTATTTATGTACACAACCCTAAACCCTAAACCCTAAACCCTAAACCCTAAACCCTAGCTTACCTGCACCTCTAGGAGAGACTCCCCAACCCTCGAGTTGATCTTCAGGATCAGACCAAAGTAAATCGCACATCGGACCCTCATGAGGCACCTCCTGGTGTCTATATACACCACAAACCCTAAACCCTAAACCCTAAACCCTAAAATCCTAAACCCTAAAAATAACGATAAACCCTGAAACCCTAAACCCTAGAATCCTGCAGACTGACACAGCCAGGCATCTGTTCTCAAACACCGAATCTTGCAACTACACACTACAACCCCCTAAACCCTAAACCCTAAACCCTAAACCCTACCTTTGGAGAGCCCTAACCGCATCTAGGGAATCAAGTTGAGGAGAAAGACCAGCATGAGGACAAAATATTTGTCCTTCAATTAATGCACTTAATGGCAAATAGTCAAAAACTCCTAAATACCACAAACCCTAAACCCTAAACCCTAAACCCTAAACCCTCAAAACCCTAAACCCTAAACCCCAAAACCCTAAATGCGACATCTGTATTAGATAATCAAGGGAGCAAAGAATGGACACAGCACGATAACGCGGAACCTGCCTGGCTAAACCCACCTAAAACCCTAAACCCTCAAACCCTAAACCCTAAACACTCAAACCCTAAACCCTAAACACTAAACCCTCAAACCCTAAACCCTAAACCCTAAACCCTACCTGTGAGGTGGTTCCAGACATTGGCGTTGCCGTATTTGCGAATGCATTCATCGAAGAATCCATACACCTAAAAAAAAAGAAAAAAAGAGAAAAAAGAATAAATAAATAATAAATATAAATAAATATAAATAAATATAAATAAATAAACAAAAAGTGTTTGTGTCTTACTTGGGTGATTTGGCGACTTTCGTGATTTCCTCTAATTATCGTTATCCGGTGGCGATAGCGAACCTGCATATACACCCCAAAACCCTAAACCCGAAACCCTAAACACTAATTACTAAACCCTAAACCCTTGGCTAATCCCTCTGCCTCCGGTAGAAAAATAAAAGTATTTGGAGAGCACCAGCGAGCAAACATCTAAACCCTAAACCCTCAATCCTGAAATCTCTACCCTGAAAGCAAAACCCTAAACCCTAAACCCTAAACCCTAAACCCTAGGAATTACCTTTAAAAGGAAGACAAGGGTGACGCATTCCAAAGAATTAAAACCTCTGTCGACATAATCCCCCAAGAAAAGAAAATTCACAGAAGGGCAAGCTGCGCACAAACCCCAAACCCTAAACCCTAAACCCTAAACCCTTAAAAGCCCTAAACCCTAAAAAACCCTAAACCCTAAAATGACCCTAAACCCTGAACACTTAACTAATAAAGAAACCGATGAATACAAACCCTTTCAATATCGCGTAACCCTGCCTGGCTCCCGACCTTCAACCATCCACCCTAAACCCTAAAAGAACCCTAAACCCTAAAAACCCTAAACCCTAAACCCTTACTTCCGGCACATTTAAACATTTGCATAAGATCATGAAATTGGCCATGAATATCCCCTACGACAGTCACCGGTGTATTCACGGGCTGTACATTCCCTTCTTCCATCAATATCTCCTGAAGACATAAACCCTAAACCCTAAACCCTAAACCCTAAACCCTAATAAACCCTAAACCCTAATAAACCCTAAACCCTAATAAACCCTAGATGATGACAGACAATGTACGTGAAATGTGAATTCTTCCATGTGGGAGAACGTCATTATATCTACGACTACGCCCTAAACCCTAAACCCTAAACCCTAAACCCTAAACCCTAAACCCTAACCTTGAGTTTATCGCATAGAAGTTTAACTCTTTGTTCTTTTAAGGGTTTACATTTAAGGATTGTTTCTATATCACAATCAAATGCTAATAACTCTTGGGGTCGTAAATAATGCTGCTGCTGCTGCTGCTGCTGCTGCTGCTGCTCCTCTTGCTGCTGCAGCATCAATATATCATCACTGCTCAGAGGCAGATGAGGCAGCTGCAGCAAACTCTCCCCATCACGATCCCCTCCTCCTCCTGCTGCTGCTGCTGCTGCTGCTCCTGCTGCTGCTGTTGTTCTTGCTCCTGCTGCAGAGGAAGAGGGGGGAGACAATGGCGACGCAAAGGAAGCACCTGAAGAGGCTGCCTCTCCTGCTGCTGCTGCTGCTGATGATGTTGCTGCTGCTGCTGCTGCAGGGGAGGAGCTGTTTGCTGCTTCCGCTGCTGTCATTGTACAGACAGCGGGAAAAGACATTAGAAATAAATATTGCTGCTGCTGCTGCTGCTGCTGCTGCTGCTTCTGTTGCTGCTGGTTAAGCTGGTAGTTTTCCAGAGCGAAGCTGCTGCTGCTGCTGCTGCTGCAGCAAAGAGCTGCTACTGTTGCTGCAGCAACAGTGGAGCGCTGCTGCTGCTGCTGCTACTGCTGCTGCAACAGAAAAGCGCTTCTGCTGCTGCTGCTGCTATTGCTGCCGCTGCAGGGAAGCGCTGCTGCTGTTGCTGCTGCAACAGTGAAGCGCTGCTGCTGCTGCAGCAGCAAAGCGCTTCTTCTGCTGCTGCTGCTCCAATGAAGTGCTACTGCTGCTGCTGCTGCTGCTGAGCAGGCAATGAATAATCCTCTAGCGGGGCCCCTCAAGGGGCCCTTCGCTGAGGAAGGTAAGCCCCCATGTCACTCTGCTGCAGCAGCTGCTGCTGCTGCTGCTGCGCCTACCGCTGCTGCTGCTGCTATTGTATTACCCCTGTTGCTGCTGTTGGAGCACCTTAAAGGAACGATCTTCTCTTGTGTCCTTTGCTAGTGTTGCTGCTGCTGCAGTTGCTGCTGCTGTTGTTGTTGCTGCTGCTGTGTTTGATGCTGTTGCTGCTGCTGCTGCTGCTTTTGCTGCGCTGCTGCTGGTGACAGTTATGCGGTGTCTTAAGAGGAGAAGAGGCGGTAGGCAGTGTGTGTACCGCCGCAGATCCTAGGGTTTAGGGTTTAGGGTTTAGGGTTTACCGTTAAGACCCCGTAGTGGGGGTGGTGACTGGTGCAGCTTACTGTGCCTGCTACCCCTAAAGATTAGGGTTTAGGGTTTAGGGTTTGAGAGGGGACGCTCACATCCCCCTGGCTGTACAGGCCACCGCACGGGGGGGGCTAGGGTTTAGGGTTTAGGGTTTACGGGTTTACGGGAGGAAAGAAGCAAGACCTCCTTGGGAGGCTGGTAAAGCATAGATGTTTGCTTGCTAGAGTTTAGGGTTTAGGGATTAGGGATTAGGGTTTAGGGTTTAGGGCTTCGGGGAGCGGCGCTTTTGCTGCATGCGCTGCGCAGCTGCTGCGGCTGGCTGCTGCAGCAGCAGGCAGCAGCAGCAGCTCAATGTTGCTTCTATTGATATTTAAGGGAATAAAAATAAAAATTAATAAATATATTTAAATAAAATAAAGAAAAAAATTAATGGTTTATTCCTTTTGTATTGCGGCGGCCCCCCAACCCCCGCGAGACCTGCGACGAAAACCCTAAACCCTAAACCCTAAACCCTGAGAAACCACTGAGGTGTCTGTACACCTCAACAGACACCTCAACGTAGCCTCTAAGCCCTGCTCCCTTAAGGAAGGGTTTAAACACCTCTTGCCTCCTACTTGTCTATCGTAAACCCTAAACCCTAATACATTTGTTTAGCTAGCGACTAGCTAGCCACAGCTGTCTGTCAGCTAGCTAGGGAGGTGGAGGTAGGGTCTACAGGAGTGCCTTCACCTGCCTAGACACTGTAAAGCCTAAACCCTAAACCCTAAACCCTCCGAGATGGGCGCTCCTACTGCCTAGCAAACCCCCTTCTCTAAGGGAAACACTACCTACAATGATTCGCTACTCATTAAGTATATAGCTAGCTACAGCTAGCTGTATCTAGCTGTATACGGATGTACCTAGCTGTAGCTAGCTGCAGATAGCTGTAGCTAGCTGCAGCTAGGTATCTAGCTAGCTGTGGCGCAGCAGCAGCAGACAACGAGCAGCAGCTAGGCTAGCGTCTAGTAAGCTCTGGTTGTAAGAGAGCAACGGGAAAAAGATTTAGGGTTTAGGGTTTAGGGTTTAGAGGAGCAGTAGGCACCGAGACCCAAAACCGTTTCTAGGGTTTAGCGCTAAAGGCATCTAGCGCTAGGGAAGAGGATTTAGGGTTTGGGTTAAGCCTAGGGTTTAGGAAAGAGGGCCTTATGGTGTCTTAAAGGCAACTAGGGTTTAGGGTTTAGGGTTTAGGGTTTAGGGTTTTTGAGGTCATCAAGAGCAGCTCTAATTGCTGTTTGATTAAGAAGAAGATTTAAAGAAAATTCTGCCTTTTGTGATGTACTTAGGGCATCTGCAGACACAAACCCTAAACCCTAAACCCTAAACCCTCAGTAGTATACTCCCCATACAGGCATTTATTAATACCGTTATAAGCAAGCGTTTAGGGTTTAGGGTTTAGGGTTTGAAAAGTCTCGTTGCATACAGACACACACATGAGCACAGAGGTTTATAACAAAGACAGATAAACCCTAAACCCTAAACCCTAAACCCTACCGTATTTTTGATTGCAGTAAGCCTGCAGGAGGTTTTTAATAAAGACAGAAGAAACCACCAAACGCCGAGGGTTTAGGCAGGGTTTAATGAGGTTAGCCTCCAGTAAACCCTAATGCACACAACATAAATAAACCCTTAACCCTTATAAACCCTAAACCCTCAACTGCTAAACCCTAAAACACAAACCCTCGGAAGGCAGGTCCTCTCTATGAATTGGCGAAACTGTAAACCCTAATA